ATGTCCCCATTCTATGGGCCTAAGAGATGCCCCAGGCCCACTAACAAATTTGGAGGGAAGGCAACGCAATGATTGAAGGATGCGAGCTCCGGCCATTTAACCTGAGCATGCCTCCTCTTAGGCGAACATGGCCCAACCTCTTGGCCGGGCTCGACTTTGTACCCGAGCTCGGCCTCATCACCTTGGCCCATTACTGCCAAGATCTGGGCTCATCAACATTTAGCCTTTATACACTTAGTAGGATTAACTATTTGTTTGGGTAGTGAGTGTTGGGCTGGGCTCCAACACCATACCATTATTGGGCTTATTATTTTAGGGCTAGAGCCCATGATAAATTGTACTATTATAAATACTCTCTTCCATGAGTTAGGGAGGGGGAGGCCACTTTGGAAGGAAGGCAACCTTAATCTTAATGGAATCTCTACACTTCATCTTCTTCCTCTCTCCCCCTCTCTTCAACAATGTTGGTGGGTCTAGATACAAGGTTTCTACTACCCTTGGGTCTAGAATCCATCAATAGTTATAAAAAAAAGACTAAAATCAAGTAAGTATTGCATATATAATGGATAAAATTTGATATACGACTCGTGAATAAAAAGATTATTCTCCATATATGATTTTGTTCCATATCAATGATATCTCATAACAGATATGATGCATGAATCATGATAGACATAATTGCGTCGCTTGATCAATGTAGTCGATCCACCTATTTAGATAAGACTTTGTTGTTTATATGATTTCAAATTCCTTTGATTCCAACTTTATATGTATTCCTTTGATTCCAACTTCCAAATTCCAAATAGTTCATCGTACAAGTTCTTGAACCTAACGGAAGTTAATTCTATGTGCGTTTTCAAGTAAAGGGAAAGTAAAAATAATTTAAAAAATGAAGGTAATTTTACTTTGTTGCTATCAAATTGAGAGTGGAAAGAAATATTTTCTCAAATTTCACACATTGTTCGAAATAAAAGAAAAAATGGATGGAGGAATTAAGAGTTTGATATCAGAGAATTAAACTTATACGGAGTATCTTTTTTGTTAATCAAACACACCCAATATAATACATCGTGATATATATATATATATATATATATATATATATATATATATATATATATATAGAGGGTTTGTTCGGTTTGGAAACAATATTTATTTATAAAGCTATTTTTTAATGAAAATTTATTTATAAAAAAAGTTATTTGATTCCCATATTTTTATTGTTTGGTAAGAAGATTTTTTCCCCAAAAATCTTGCCCGAGTAGGAGTATGTTTGACTGTAGGATGTGGCTCATCCTTTTTTTGTTAGTATGCTTCAATATTTTCAAAAAGAAAATCGCTCAAACTTGTCTAAGGTGAAATGTGAATTTTCGTCTCAAGTAAATAGAAATTGTTTTTTATTTTTTGAAAGGATTTTTTTCTAAAATAGTTTACTAGGGAGTACCATTTATATTACTAAAGTTGGAAATTAGAATTGATTTTGTTTAAAAAAATGATCCTTCAAATCAAACAGACTCTAAAGATTTGGCCTCATGACAATTGTCCATAATGCATGCCCTCCTCTATGGGCCTCCCGGGAGAGATATACTTACATGGGGTACTTCATTTGTAAAACAGGCTAACACAGACATACAAAGAAATAGAATGTCAATATAGCACAAACATTTTGTGTCTGTGTTAGCTTGGTGTATGAATGAAATACCTCATTTTAGTATATCCCTAGGTTAATTCATATTCAAATCATTGGAAAAAACCCACAATATTTGAGCATGTCTTATTAATACTTCCCCATTTGAGGCCAATTGGCCTTGTCATATTTAGCAGGGAAAAATTAAAACTTCATCTTTAGTTTCTTTCTTTCTTTCTTTGTCCGTTTGTAGCATGTAAAAAGTGAAGCCATAGAATAGAAGACAGCAACTCGATATAGCAGGACGTACATGCCTTTGTCTTTCTCTTCTTTACTTTTCATTCCCTGTCGAGTCCAAAGAAAAAAAAAGGTGGACCACCTAACCTGCTCCTCCCCACACCTCCACCCAACAAAAAAATATATGGAGGTAGATCATGATATAATTTCAATTATAGAAAAAAATTCAAGGTAAGAGTAAAACATTGAAAATATATCAAAGCAGGAATTATATGTTTTTTATTTTCGAAATAGAAGTTAAAATGCATTCACAGTGTCAATCATGACCATATATGTTACAAAAGGATATTGTGAAATGTCTATATACAGTGTCACATTATCATAATTAAAATATCTATATATAGTGTCACATTACAACAGTGTCAAAAGATCTCAAATTTGACAATTTTTCTTAGAACTATCTATCGAGGCTACAAGTGCATGGGGACAATTGTGGAGTCCAAGAAAGAAGAAACCAAAGGTTGAGTAAGTAGTGTATGTGTGAGAATGAGCGTTGCGTAGTTGGCAATGTCAGAAGTATCAAGTAAGACCCAAGTTTGATTCCTAGAAATTGCGTTGGGAACAACTATATTAAGAATAAGACCTCTACAAGTACTAAGTGCAGATTCTATTCTTTGTCACTAATCCGCGATTAAAATCCAATTTACAAACTCTCAATTAGTCAATTGTCATCTGGACCTAAAAGATGATTTCCTGATGAGACTCGTGAATGGGAGTATAATATAAGGATTATGCTATGTGTACCCCAAGTTTTGTACCACAATTTGTACCCCGCAGTTTTGCACCGACACTTTGTGTTGGTGTAAAACTAATTTTTGTTAAATGCACCAACATTTGTGTCCGTGTGAATTTTTATTAACGCACCAACACTTGTGTCGGTGTAAATCATCGAAATATTTGTGCAAACCTGTGGTGTACAAATGGGATATATTTTTTAGTGTAAATGTAGCATGGTCCATAATATAATGGCGCAAGTGGGCACATGCACACAAAAGTTGTACGGGGAGTATAGCACATGCTTCATGTCCCCCTCCACAATCCAACCCACGTACAACTGTCAACTGCCATTATATATGTTTCTTAATTGTATATGCTCTCACTTTCCATTATTTTTTACTCTCTCGATATAAATCTTATGGTTTAACTTTCACGGAATTTAAAAAAATGTAAATTATGTTTCGTATAATGGAAATTTATGTAGAAGAGAAAAAAATAATATGTAAAACTCAATTTTTTTAAATATAAATTGAGAACCGAAATTCATGTGTATATATGAGCGTTAAAAATTATTTGTGTAAGAATGTTTACTCCTTCTGAAAATCTTTTTTTATTTAATTTTTTATTTATTGTATATATGAGCGTTAAAAATATTTTTTTATTTAATTTTTTACGGTCTTTCAAAATTTTGACATTTCGAAATAAATCTATTTTTTTAGATCGAAATAATTCTATTAATATTAAATATATACGGAGTATATCATAATTCATGATATTTTTTCTATAATTTTCGATCAAATTTTAAAAATACTAATAACAAAAAGTCAAAAGAAACTGCATTTGAACGCTATAGCATTGAGTAGGGAAGCTAAAGTCTTGAGTGTAGTAGATGCCTAAACAATTTTAACTAAATTTGAACACTGGAAACTGCATTTTAAATCAAGAGTCTCGCTGTATGCCCAAAATTAGAAACTGCATTATTTTGAATTATTGTAATATTTAATGGATTAATTAGGGAGGATTTATTGCTAATTAGATTATTGGTGGTAACTATTGTGTTTCCATATACATGTGATTATGTGCAACTCGTCCAAAAAAGAGTCTCAGACCTCACTATTCAAAAGTCACATGATCCAACTTTTGTTTATTTCTACATTTTATCGATTATTATTTGAAAAATGAAATATTTGTATCACCTCTTGTTTTAAATAACTTTTGACGTAGTTTTTTTTAGACGAATGGAGTATCATACTAGGAGAGTTTGATGCATTGTTTTAAGCCTTTAATTAAATTGAATGCCAACATGGGTAACTCAACTGGTCTCAATGTCGAATCCCGGCAGCAACAATATGCGAGTTTTATTATTTAAAATATCTTCTTGTGCGAATCGAGCACGGACGGCATCTCTAAGAACCAGATTGTGATTGTATCATGATTTACTCTCACAATCTTGTCGGGTTGTGGGAGTATCCGGAGTGAGCGTTCTAATTAAATTGAATTTCCTGGTAGGTGCATACAATGGAATGTTTATATGGCAGAGAGAGTACAATAAGTGTTATTCTTGACTTAGCAGTGACATTCGTACATGCCCAGGCTTGAAAAGATCTTTCAATTATTAGTGCTTAATTAATTTCACAGCCAAAATCAATATGTCTAGCTACCAATTTAATTATATTATGTGAACTTTTTCCCAAAATTAATTTATCGTTAATTTATACCTACCAATATATAGCAATATGTTTGGGTCAAATTATTTCTATATAAATTTATTTCGAATTCATAAAAATTTATTTCTATATAAATTTATTTCAAATTCATATGTTTTTATTTTCCAATGTATTACAAATGTTCGATGTCTACTAGTTATTGTTCTAATAAATGTCCACCGTCACTGGACATCGTTCTCGTCACTAGACATTATTCAAGTACTATTTACAAAATAACAAAATTTAAGTACTACAATGAGAAATAGCATACGTTTAGTACTTACTCTGTTCTAAATTATATATAATGCTTGTTTCCTATTCATAGAGTCAAACTTTATTCATTTTATTTTTCTATTTTCGTTAGCAATTTTTTCGTTAGCAATTTGATAAAATAAAGTACTATTATCACTACTAGTTTTGTTCGTAGATCTTTTGAGGTAGTATTTTAATATGTAATATTTATTTTTTAATTTTATATCATTGGTCATATAAAATGATTTGAAAATAATTTCAGTCAAACATCGTAAAACAAAACAGACGCTATAAATTGGGACATAGGGAGTATTATTTAGTGCAAATTTCAAGTAATTAAGAGTATATATATATACATGATGAAGAAGCAGCTGAACTAGGCACACACAACAAACAGTGGGCAAAACAACCAGAATATATTATTAGTACGTTTATATATATATAGGCCAAACAAGAAATTAATTAATTACTCGTGAGTAATTAAATAAAAAACACTAACTAGTAAGTATATACGTAGTATATATATATACCTGCTGCTGCTACACAAACGGACACTAAATAATTACCCCTAATTGACATAAACAAAAAAGAAATAGTTCTGATTTGAGCTTTAAGTAAATAAATAAACTACACTCATACTATAACAATAATAATAATTAAACAGCAAGCTGCCGTTGTTGTTGTTTTTGAATTGCCAAAGAAGAAGAAGAAGAGATAGTAGTAGTTGTAGTGGACGTGTTATAAGTGTCTGGAATGATGATGATGAGGTCATCATTATGGGAGGACGGCGGCGGCGGCGAAGGGCGGAGGAGCAGCGTTTCGGCGTGGAGGTGAGCGCAGTAGGAGTGGAAAGTGGCGGGGGTGACGTTCAAGTGGAACCCCAAACCGAACAGGAAATCAACTTCTAGAAGGTTCATCTCTCTTGTGCTTATCCCTCCCACCTTTGCATAGTATGCGTTGTTGTAATACCTGCAATAATAATAACATGCACTTACGTGTTATTTTGTGAATAAAACAGTTTAAGTGGTATTAGAAAAAGAAGAATTATTTAAGTTTTAGTACAGTACTATTTAGTGCAAATATTTCAAAAAAATAATAATACCGCCTCTGTCTCAAAATCTTTCTTCTTTCTTTTTTTCACATTTTACACGTGGACTCTAGAATAACGGAAACAAACTCCTAACTTAAGTAAATCGCAAAAAGACCTAAAAGGATCCGTTCCGTTCAACTTATTTTTATAATTTATTACTTATTCTTATTAGAATCAGCCTAGATAAGATTTAGACTAGATCAGATTCGATCAGATCTTTCAAAAATGAAATCAAATGCGAACGTAACATAACATATAGCAGAAAGTGTCAATGTTTTGATTTGGATTGATCCCTCAACAAAAAGAGTCGCAATTATGTTACTTGGCGCTTAATTAATTAGCATTGACCAAACTAAACAAAAACTCAAAAAGGGGAGAGAATATAAAGTATAATCTTCCAAAACACAAAGAACCAACACATTCTTAGCTGGTTTCAATGGCATCTCTCTGCAGGCCATGACTTCATTTCCAAGCCAAACAGTGCCTCTTGCTTTTTCTAATTCGGAATTGTAAAATTGATTAAAAGTAGATGAGCTGTTTATATCATTCTAATTCATTACTACTTGTTGGGTAGGTTTTTCTGTCAACGTCCCCAAAAAAAAAGTGCAAATCTTTTTTTAGTGAATTCTCAAAACGATTTTTTCTAATAAGATGTTTTTTCTCAAATTAGTTCTCAATAAGCAAAAGCTCGATCAAACGCTACTGTTTGTTCTTTAATAATCTAAAATGTTGATGTAATGCACGTTAAACCTTAATATTTTTAAAAACTAGGTGGCGCTAAGTTTTTTGAATCCGTGTACTCGTAAACAAGAACGCTCTTATATCATGTTAAGGGCCCAACTCAAGAAAAAATTCAGACTTGTAATTCTGATCTAGAAAAATGTTTTTTCTATTCTAAGTGTATAGTTCTCATAAAAGGAGGCATTATATTGTTCCCCAATGTATTAATAATGTGAGTACAATTTTCTGTTATAACTTTAATCAATAACGTACGGAGTATACTACACTTTATTTACAAGTTATTTATACGTACAGAGTATTTGTTGTTTCCTACTCTCTCCCTCATAAAAATAATTTCTTGTTTCTTTTACTATGTTTGACTATATTATTTTTGATTGAATTTATTAGAAAATTGGGTGTGAAACTTAAAATTAATTTTATTTTTTAAAAAATTACATCAAAAGTCTATAAAAATAGACGTCGAACATGACTATATTTATTTATCACATAAGTAAGAAAGATAGGCTAACAAAGAAGAAAAAATTTGACCAAGTGAAATGATATGGGCCACGTAACTTTTTCTTGATTTTTTTTGAAAAACGTATATAAGAAAATAAGAAGATAATTGTGAAATTTGCACGGAATAGTAAGACATACTCCCTCCATCCAATAATAATAATGTTTCATTGCACGCTACGATGTTTGACTGAAGTTATTTCAAATCATTTTATATTAAAAATCGTATTGAACTTAATAAATAAAAACTAAATACTTAAAAACTACATGTAAATAACTACATAACTAGATTTGATATGACCATATTATTTTATCAAATGAGGAAAGAAAAACACCAATAAACTGAATAAAATTTAACCTTGTGAATAGTGAACGAAAATATTATTGCTGGACGGAGTCGGAGGGAGTATGTTTTTTTTCTAATGTAATACATAAGACTTTTTATTTCCTTATGAATAGACCTGATCAAAGTGCGGGCCGGGCCGGGACACTACTTTATGAGAATTTTCTAGGCCCGAGCCCGGCCCGGCCCGTATAACGGGCCTAACAATTGAAGCCCGAGCCCGGCCTGCATGGTTACCCGCGGGCTTCGGGCCGGCCCGGCCCGACCGAAAAAACTTCTAAATAATTTAAAAAATAATTTTTTTTTAAAAATAAAGTAACAAGTTAATATATTAGATATTTGATATAAAAACTATTATGAGTAATGAAAGAAATATTAATATATAAATATATTTTGTTTGATATTGCTACTATGTATGGAGTACAAAATATTATCTATTGGAATGTTATAATCAATGTGAAATACGTTGCAAACAATACGTAGTAGTAAAGATGTATTCATTTTATTATATAAACTTATAGTTTATTTTTTCTCTCCATTGAAGTATGTATGTGTCTCTATAATAATTTGAAATCGGTTTGTTCTTTATTATTATTATTAATGTTACGTTGTTATTGTTATTTTATTATAATTATATTAATAATAAATATTTTAATTTATTCAGACCGGGCCAGCCCATGGGCTTGAGCATAAAATCGAGCCCGGCCTTAAAGTACTCGGGCCACCATTTATAAGGCCCAAGCCCGGCCCGTACCCTAAAATGTCAAGCCCAAGCCCGCTCTTTTGCGGGTGGGCTTTTGCGGGCGAGCCGGATACTAGGGCCCGTGATCGGGTCTACTTATGAATACTTGAACAATGTCCACTAGAGAGAACAATGTCCGGTGGTTATTGATACTAGTATTTACTTTAACAATATATCTAGTGGAAATAGAACATTGATACTAGCTAGCTAGCTACAACAAGTCGTGGTGTTCACGGACTGATCCAATTCACATCAAGACAAACTGTTTTTTTTTCTTTTGCACTTAAATTGTGCAAAAAAAATTGTGGTAAAAAAAATTGATCCATAAAAATATAAAATTGATCCAATTCCAATAATTGTGGTAAAAAAAAATTAAATTTAGACGAAAAAAAAATTAAATCTACTGAGAAATTAATTTCTAAACTGAAAAAATATGATATAGTCGATCATGTTCATGAATAATGTTTTCAATAAACGTTTATATTTTGAATAAAATATTGAAATGTAGATTAATTTTGAAAGCCATGTTTAGTAAGTAAGGAGGAGGAGGAGGGGGACATACATATCATCCATGAATTTGGCGGCGACCATGACGCTGGTGATGAGGAGGCGGTGGACGTTGAAGGAGTTGATGAGAACAGAGCGGTGGCGGTGGGTGAAGCGGTCAAGGTACACGTACGCCACCACGAAGCACGCCGGGCTGCAGTTGGCGTACTTGAATATCCTCTCCAAGTAGCTCCCCACCGTTATCCCCGGCCTCCTCACCCCGTGGAACACCGACACCCCCTCCCCCTCCTCCGCCGCCGCCAGGTCGTTGGAGTCCGCCACCCGCTGCAGCAGGGAGGAGAGGTAACTTATGAGCTTCGGCGGCGGAATTGCGCCGCCGCCGCCGCCCTCCACCACCGCCAGCTCCGCCATTGCACTGCTGCTACTAGTAGTAGGAGTATTTGTTGGTTGTTGTTTGGTTCCTCCAACCACAGAGAGGAAATGGATTAAGATTGAAGGAACAACAAAATAATTTTGGATCGTATGGTTTGTTTTTGATGTTGAAATTTTGATTTATACAAGGACGGGTGAGAGGTGGGCCATCGACCCACATTTTGGGGCTGTGGCCCATGGGCCCACTATACTAACTGGCGGATGATGGACGGACCGACGCTTCTTTTAGTTTTATATACGAGTACTTTTATTTTCTCCGTATTACAGTGTATTTCTTTGGTTCGAGTACATTTATTTAATTTGATTTTTTTGAATTAAATTGAATAAGATAAATAAAAATCATTTTTAAACTAAACCAAGTAAAATCAAACAAGATAAACCCAATGAAATCAAAATTGTAAAGTTCTCAACAAGATATATCAGATAATATTATTTTTATACTAATACATATTATAATTTTAATTTAATTAATGCTTAAAATTTGGACTAATATACTCGGACAAAGTTAGTGCTTGTTACTCACTAATTAATCATCGTGACATGCCAATTTACCCCATTTAGTTTCCCTTCTCTCACTCGCCATATTATTCATTGAGGAGTGCTAGGGGAAGGGATTTCTAAAATTTTGACTTTAAATGCACACCAACGTCAATACAGATACACACGAACATTTAATGTTCGTGCACACATGTGTGTCAGTATTAGCCCAATGCGCATTTGGTGTCAAATGCTTGCCTAACATATTACTGGTCATAACCAATTGTGTCTTCATCATGATATTGCATCCCAACCCAACTTCTATCGATAGAATCTTTCAGCAAAGACAACTTTAATAAATAGTGCTTGTCAAAAATATTTATATTGATAAAATTATCGATAATAAGTGAGTAATGTAATTTACTCCCTCCGTCCATGAGTGTTTGTCCACTTTCATTTTTGCACACCATCCAATGCACTTCTTTAATCCATTTTATCTTGTAATTTGTATATTAAAAAATTATAAAAAATATATATTAAAATCTATATGTTAAGACGAATCAAACAAGATCGCACATGACTATTTTTAGGCTTACACAATGAGAGAATTTGATGAGTCAAAGTGCTTAGATGAACAATTCCAAAAGTCAAAAGTGGACAAACACTCAGGGACGGACCAAGTATTTGTTAAGTTGATTATTCTTAACCTCTAACATTTCGCTCCTAAACTTCTTGTGCCCCCATTCCAGCCCACTTAGATTGTTGATTGGCTGGTGGCTACGAGAAAGTGATCCAAAAGGGGATTGTACGAGATGAAATAAAAACCATCAAATTTACAAATAAAATATCGTAATTACTCAATTCGAACGAGTGGCATCCCATATAAATATATAATCATACTTATCATATCAATTATGGAAGTATCTTTAATTTATCTTGGTGGGCTTCTATTAATTGGTAATTTCGAATGTATGTTAGGGCTGCCTTAGAAATAGAATTTTCAAAAAATTAATTTTAGAGTAAATTTCATAATTAGTCCTTTATAACAGGGGATTTCCCTATTTAGTACTCTATTATCAAATATTATCCTAGTGGTCCTTCTTTTATTGGTACCTTTCCACAAATAGTCCTTTTTTTGATCTTGTATCATGTTGGTGTTAATTTGAGGGCTAAAAGTGTAATTTCACAATGATAATATATCTTTTTTGTCATACACAATTCCAAAGGTTATTCCGTTTGCGTTGTTTATGAATTACAGTCGCTTTCTATTACAACCATTGTCTACAAGTGTGGTCTTTCGTAGGAATCCTAGCCCACAATCATAGTCATTATTTTTGTGTTATTCGCTTAATAAATATCAGAACACGTCACTAGACATAATGTAGATGTTAAATTATAATTTTAACCTTTAAATTAACACCAACATGATACAAGATCCAAAAAAGAACCATTTGTGGAAAAGTACCCTTAAAAAAAGGACTACGGGGGTAATATTTGATAATAGATGACTAAATAGGGAAACCTCCATGTTATAAAGGACCAATTATGGAATTTACTCTTAATTTTAACATCTTAAAAGAGAAAGGGATGAGAAAAAAACCGTTGAGTGCTCTATGGCCGTTAATTTTTGGAGGGTAGATTTACTCGGAGAAAAAAAGAAAAATGCTAGGGGTACATCAGAGGAGTACCCCATTTGTCCCCCACCCCCTCCTACACTCAAATAGGCAAGAAAATTAAAAAAAATAAGTAAATAAAAATTAATTAAAAATAGATGGTGGAGAAGAGGATGGTGTATAAATGGGGTACACTTAGCATTGCTCCAAAAAAGAACATGGAGTAAAAACACAAATCAAATTGAATAATGACCATGTTGTCCTATTGAAGGAAATTATTACGGAGTAATTGATACTCCTTTTTGACTTGAAAAGTTTTAAGATTTTGGGGGTTCCATCTCTATATACTAACTGATTCATTCATTTGAACTCAAGTGTTGGCGTCTTGCTAGACATTTCTTCCATTTCACACAAATTTCTCAACTTTCACTTAAATGTTAAAAAATAAAAGAAGATATGTAGAAGAATTTGTTTTCAAGATCAAAATATTAAAAATCAAATATTATTTTCAAAATATGATATCAAAAAAAGAAAAAAAACCTTAAGAAAATTTATAATGTCAAACCATATCAATTCTCAATATATAATATCAAAAACATCGTGAAATAATGCCAAAGTGTGGAGTTACATGTTCAATGACAAGAATTTTTTTGAGACATTGTTACGAGTCTCAATGTGTTGGGTTTCATCCCACACTGGAAAAATCAATTAAATGTTACCTCATATAAAGAACAGTGAAATACTACACATTAGCTCAAGCTTTTCGATACAAAGTGGATCCAGATTTTATATGGGTAAGTGGTCAATCTCACTCAACACTCGGCCGAGTTTACTCGGTCCATCGAAATTCCAACATGGTATCAAAGCCAAGTTCGATCGGTTCAGGTTCGTTTCATCCCTACGTTCACCGAGCTAGCTATAACTTATAGAGATTGCAATGATAGACTCATCCATTCATCCAAGTAGTAACTAGACTAGGCTAGTTACCACATGATTGTAAGTGTTTGGAGTCTCCATGTGTTGGGTTCATCCCGCACTAGAAAAATCAATTAAATGCTACCCCTATATAAAGAAGGTAAAACACTATTCATTAGCTTAAATTTTTGGATAAAAAATGGATATGAACTTTATATGCGTAAGTGGTCAAATCTCACAAAAATCCCATCGAGTTTACTCGGCCCACCAAAATTCCAACAAATGTAAACATAAGAGGTCCTAATTTAGTACTCCGTATAAAATAATTTATAATCAAAGAAATTACTCTCTATTCTTTACTGAGAAATTACTGTCAATGAACCAAATCAACCACAAGCTCAAGCTTGTGGTTGTGACCCAGGAAATGTTTCTTATATTCTAACTGATCTCTAAGTCAACAAGGCTCTGATACCATGTCAAGGAACCAACTCAATCAAAAGCTCAAGATTATGGTTGTAATGCAGGAAATGTTTCTTATATTATAACAATTACCCATTTTTTTAAATGACTCTCGACCACATCCATTTTACTTCATAGTGTTAGAATATAAATAACTGTTCTTGGGCCACAACCACAAGCTTGAGCTTTTGGTTGAATTGGTTCCTTGACATGGTATCAGAGCCTCGTTGACTAAGAGATCACGGGTTCGAAACTCAGCGCCACCCAGTTTAAAAAAAATTTAAGGTTTCACATGCAAGGCTCGAAAAAAAACTACGCCTGCACGTGAGGGGGCGTGTTAGAATATAAATAACTGTTCCTAGGTCACAACCACAAGTTTGAGCTTTTGGTTGAGATGGTTCCTTGACACATAGTAACATGCTAATTAACTTAACCAAAGATGGTAAACCAATTAATATAATTACTCCGTAAGATCGATGATGCTTTTGTGGGGGTTCAGAGTTGTGGCACAAAAATAATTGACACAGGGCCTGTTTGGGAATAACGTTAGAGATTAGTGTTAGCGTTTTCAAAAGGCTGTCTACAGACAGCGTTTAGCGTTAGCGTTTTCAAATTAATCTGCACCGTTAAAATTTTATCCAAAACGCTAACGCTAATTTCTAACGTTATTCCCAAACAGGCCCACAGTTGATGAAGATTTAGAAAGGGTAACAGTTGATTAATCAAGTCTTAAAACGCACATTACATCCTAGCTAGCTGCTAGCTAGCCCCACAAAATGACAAAATTAAACCTACAACTATTGTCAATCTGGTTTTCCTAAAATAAAATAATACTCACTCCGTCCCAAATTATTTGCAATGTTTGTTTTTTCTGCTGTCGCGGGAACTTTTGTTTATTTCTACGTTTTCATTGGTTATTTGATAAAATAAAATATTCTTGACACCTCTTATTTCGAAGAACTTTTCATGTAGTTTTTTGATATGTAAATTTTATTTTTTATTTCTATACCAATATGTAAATAAAATGAATTGAAAAAACTTGATATTTTATCTCGGGAATACAAGTGTAACAAATATTTAGGGACAGAGGGAGTACAGAGTAATTAATGTCAAACGATCGAAATAGATTGAAGCAATTAAGCTACGGTAATACAGTAACAACACTTGATATATACTAAAAAAAGTTGGCATTATTAGCCACACATTCATTTAATTAATCATAGTATCTGCCGGAGATCGTATTTTTCATCTTTGGATTATTACATAAATGGCGGCGTAATTACGGTAGCTTCCCCATACATAGATTTAAATATAGAAATAATATTAAAATGAGAGCTCTATATTTTTATCTTTAAAATAAAAATTTGTAATAATTTGCATGTTTGGCACTGTACATGCATATGACAGTACTTAACAATACATTTTGGTAATACCCCGGAGTATTATATAGGAGTGTTAGCATGATTAACATTATTACTCCTATTTTGATAATAAAAATATTAAATTCCTATTTCTAATTTTTAATTTTGACTCCACTCTTTTCCTTTTTCTCATATTCTCTCCCCTCTCTTTTTGAACAAGGTTTAATATTTTTGCGAGAAGAAATAATGTTCAAGTACCAAAATGGTACATCGCTCAAAGTGAAGAATTTGATTAATAATTATGTTCAATGATTTACAATAAGGATCTACCTCCCTATATACCGAGTATATACAAAGCGAGGGATCTAATAAGTGAAATTTACACTGAATAAGACTAAAACATAAGTCATTTCTTATTTTTATTCTCTAAATAAGATTTAATAATGACTAGTGAGAAGAATAATGTCTAAGTGATGATGAACGTTTAGTTGAATAATGACTAATAAATAATGACCAATGGTCATACATTGCGAAATAAAAACATATAATCCTATTTTGAGAAAGTTATTATGTTTTAATTCTATTTAGGTAAATTATCCCATCACTAATTAGGCATGTCTTTGTCTTGCTTAGAGTACAACCTCCGCAAAGCATGTCGTACGTATAAGGTTGCTTCTCTTTGGGTTCCATATATACTACTACTCTAATTTGGTCTCGAGTTGGATATTTTCATTTTTACTCTTTAGTGTTTATAATGTAGCACTTTAATTATTAATTTTTATATGGATATATTTTATGAAAATTTAATATTTCAAAATTACGTTTTAAATGCAAATTATTAAAAATTCCAACCGAGAGGGGCCGGAATGGAGGAACAACTCTCCATAATTTGATTATACGGAGTATTTCCAACGAACCCATGTGTAATCTCATGTGACTAATGGGTTATTTCTCTTCATAATAGTTTAATCAAAATAATACCAAGTAGTAGTACTACTTATAATAATAATAATAATAATAATAATAATAATAATAATAATAATAATAATAATAATAATAACAACAACAACAACAACAATAATAATAATAATAAATAACAACAACAACAACAATATTAATAATGGTTATTAATAATATTATTATTAGCAAAGTTCTCGCTCATTTGGAGCTTCGCTAGTGCTCTAAATGAAAAATTTATGATTCCTAACCCCCTCTCTAAATCCTCCACCGCACCCCACACCAATGACACCAGTGACCAGCCCGACCTTTGCGCCCCCACCCTACACTCCTCTTTTACTCCTCCAAACGGTTGCATAATATATAGCCACACGTTTGGAGCGGGTAAAAGAGGAGCATAGGGTGAGGGCGCAGGAGTTGGGCTGGTGTGGGGTGCGATGGAGCTTTTAGGGAGGGGGTTAGAGGCACTAGGAACCATTAGTTAACGGAGCACCAGAAGAGCTTCAAATGAGTGAGTGTCATCTATTGACACTAGAATTAAATACGATGAAACTTTTACTGTACCATATTATTATCATTATTGAGTAATTTTGTTGTTATTGTCTTTTGTGAGGACTATAGATGCGAATGAAGCTACACCATTTATTTGAAGGGATGGGTGTAACTTTATCAACCTTCTTCTTCATGATGAGATGACCCCCACAATTGGCGGAGAGCCACATTATACATCTACAACCTTTACCCATATGGCAGGCACATGGTATATACTAGGGGTAAGCACGGGCCGGATCGGACTGATTTTCATAGGATTCGGTCCTAACTTGTTTTTAGAATAAACAGACCGAGACGAGTTGGGGTGTTGAAAAAATATGAAACCGGCCTTAACCCTGCTTGTTTCAAACGGTTTGGTTCTGCGAGTTCGTGGGTCCATGAGTTTTTTTCAATTAAATCAAAAAATTAAAATGCATCACCAAAAAATAAATAACTTATATGAGAATAGTCAATAAAATAATGAACTTTTTAAAAATAATCCGTGATTTTCATAAATGAAATAAAAAAAATTACTCGTACAATATTCAACGAATAAAAGACTTTTTCCCAATTGAAGTTATACAATGTATAAGAAAAAATGGAATTGATGACTAAAATTTTACTCATTATGTTAAATGTATAACTCATAAATAGAATATTGAATATACCATATATAATTTATGTATTTGAATAATTTGATGAAAAGACTAAAATGCATATTCTGTGTGTGTGTGTGTGTGTGTGTGTGTGTATATATGTGTGTGTGTGTGTGTGTGTGTGTGTGTGTGTGTGTGTATATATATATATATATATAATGCACAAAGCCACTTCAGATCAACCTATGGTCCATCTATGGAATGGACCTTCCATGCATCTTACAACTCACAACCCCATGGATAATTACTCACATTTCCACAATTATTTTTGTGTTGTGTGAAAACAATTCATGTATAATCATTTCTCATGTAATATATTGTTGTTTCAACGACTTTCCTTTTTGTTCTTCATAAATAGAAGTTACATTTTTTTCAGTACTATTTCAAAAAAACATTACGCGATTTAATTTTTTTTCTGTTTTTAAATAAATTGTTACATTTTACGTTTTGATCGATCTAAACAATATACTTAAGTTCTCTGAATACTCCCTTCGTTGCAAAAGTATTTCATGTTTAAAACAAACCTAACGGACTTTAAAAATACATAATTTTAGTACTATTTTCTAATAATTATATGTCATTGTTTTAGAATAATTTAGGATATGATATACGTGTCTGATTAAAAAATTAAAAACTACTCCGTAGAAAATAACACAAAACTATAAAAATACACATTTTTAAAGCCGGCGTATTTCTTTTAAAGGAAATTTTTTTATTTGACATAATTTTTAAAATTGATGTGACAATTATGTTGTGCTGGAATACTATCATATTGTAAAAAGGGAGGAGGTCTGTGAGGTATATATGGATTTTATGGAACTTCACCATGTGGCGACTACATTAGTACTCCCTCCGTCCCACTTTCTTTCTCCACTTATTTTTTGACACACCATCTAATGCATTTCTTTAATCCATTTTATCTTGTAATTTGTATATTAAAAAATTATAGAAATTATATATTAATAATCTATATGTTAAGACAAATCAAACAAGATCACACATGACTATATTTAGGCTTACACATTGAGAGAATTTGATGAGTCAAAGTGCTTAGATGAACAGTTCCAAAAGTTAAATGTGGACAAAGAGAGTGAGACGGATGTAGTATTATATTATTGTTCATTTTATTATATGAAAAAAAATAATTGTTCAATTTATTATATGAAAACATGTGAGACTCTCATCATGTTTTATTTTTATTTTTTTTCCAAAACAGTGATATGTATACACAAATTACAAGACAGTTCCACGTGATAACAAATAGGATCACTTTTGTTTGTAGAGTAGTTTTCTTTGGTCTCCAAATTGATCAATTTATTTAATCAAGGGCTACGGTGTGATTTTACATTTATATCCCATATATATATATATATGGCTAATTAAGTTCCTTCCTTAATTAACCGAACTTCTCCCCTCGCTCGAGTGGTAGCTTGCCCACTCTCCTGGAATAATGCGGAAAGCTCACCCAAAGACAGAAGCGTTGATTTTTTGTGAGCCATTACAGATACTACATTGTAATAGAGTCAATATTATTAAAAAAATTTCCTTTCATAGCTCAAATAAAAAATATCAAATTTATGAGAAATGCTTGGATCACAAATAAAGTCATCATAAATAACACAAACTTACCATTTCTGAATTAAATTTCAAGAATAAATAGTCTAAAATAATTTAAACTGTGAAAACTTAATACAAAAATAGTAAGTCTCTGATGTTTGCAAATACTTTATTTATGAATCTAGCATTGCTTCAAATTTGTATTAGCCCGCGTAAATATAGTGTTAGGGTGTGGAAAAATTAAGTAATTAGTCACACCGCACCCCCCAAGTTTATCGGGTTTGGGACGGGAACTGCTTCGGGATGATGACGTGGCATGTACTAATTAGCCTCATTCAAGTAAGATAAGTATAGGACTTCAATTTGGGAGTACATATTTTGGCTCACCAAAAGAAACTTTAATTACTACGGGGTAATCAACATTGTTGGGAAGAAAAAAATGAAACAATGAAGAATGCTTTTCACACTCGATGTTCAAATCTCTGTTAGCTTATTCGGATACGTGTATAATACATTTATTCGTACGTTCGTGTATAATACGAGTCACATTTTAAAAATACGTCTTATTATACACTTTATACGTTCGGGGTACGTATACGGATACGTTCGTGTTTTATACGTTTGATTTTTGAAAAATACGGCTTATAGTTAGTACAAATATTTTTAGTAAGAAAGACATTTTTGTCATTGAATTTGAATACAAATACACCATAAATAATCTTTTACGCAAATAATGTTGTTGCTTACTACTCCCTCCGTCTCCAAATAAACTTCCCCTTTAGTTTTTTTTGTCCCCAAATAAACTTCTCTTTTCCCTTAAAAAACCTCTTTTGCCTCTTACTTTTTCATACCCTACTTATCATATTATACCTTTTTACTAAATCTACATATCACATCTTACTTTTACACATCACATCAAGGGTATTTTTGGAAAGTCAACACAAAAATGTCACTCCCTTAAATCCTCAAAAAGTCAAAAAGAGAAATTTATTTGGGGACGGAGGGAGTATTTTTAGAGTACTAGAAGTGTTGTACTCCCAACCAGATGTAGTTGAAGAAACTGGTAGACCATGAATGAGATTTAATTAACAAAAGATGTTGGTGAATTACTTGGACCTGCATTCTTGTTCTAATACTTTTACAATTGTTGCGTCGACAAATTTTGAAGATTTGTATTTTTGGGAAGAAGACAATCAAGTAAATTGATTAGATAAAAATTTGACCTAAATTTTGATTATTGGAATCGATAGAAGAAATTTTTTACGATTTAATACGTATAAAATTCGTAAATACATTTAGGGTAAAAAATACGTGTATTATACGTTTGTCACTTGAAAAATTCGTATTCGGGAGTATAATACGCGTATTATACGTATGGGTGTATAATACGCGTATTATACGCGAATAAGCTAACAGAGGTTCAAATTGGCTCAACAAAACTTTGGCCCATCACCGGAAAGAAAAAACAAGGCCTGAATTTGTTGCTGAAGGAGATTGGAAGCAAATGATGGAGTATTGGGGAACTGCAAAAAAATTTTCTGAAAAAAGTGAAAAAAGCAAAAAAAGTCGGGCCTCTGAGAAAGCAAAAGAAAGACAGTATCACGGTGGTTCAATTTCTGTTTCTGAACATGAAGAGAGAATGGTAATTCAAAAAAAGCCGGGCCTCTGAGAAAGCAAAAGAAAGACAGTATCACGGTGGTTCAATTTCTGTTTCTGAACATGAAGAGAGAATGGTAATTATATTTTATTTTAGATTAATATCTAATATTTTAATTTATTTATTTAATAATTTCTTTTTTTTACAGGAGAAGAAAGACAAGAAAAAGCCTAGCAGGATAGAGGTCTTGAAGCATTGCTTCACTTCTCAAGATGGGGAGCTATTGGAACTGAGAAGTCCGGATCCGGAGAAGTCCGGATCCGGAAAAGTCCGACTTCCGAAGAATCCGGATTCCGAGAGGTCCGAATTCCGAGAAATCCGAACTTGAGAAATCCGAATCCTTTGATGACCGAATCCCATTCTAATTAGGATTGATCTTGATTTATTTGTTTCCTAGTTTGATTATGATTTGTTTCCTTGTAGGATTTGTATTCCTTGTCTATTTTGGAATCATCCTCTCCTATAAATAAAGGAGAAACCCCTTGTAATAAAACAGAACAATTGAATATACAGAATATTTTCCCTCTTATCAAATTCTTCATGGTATCAGAGCAAGATTCCTAGGAAAACCCTAATCTAGACAAATGACGGTCCATCACCGCCGCCGGAATTTCCTTCTCGACCGTCGACATGGCAGAAGTAGAAGAAAATCTCGTCGGCAAGCTCTTCGAAGAGGAAGAGAAGATCCCTACGAAGGGAAGTTCTTACGAACTCAAGAACGCAGACACACCTGGATTAATTATCACCCAAGTCAAACTAAACGGTGATAATTATGAAGAATGGGCTCGTGCAATGAGAATTGCATTCCGTGCAAAACGGAAAATTGGATTCATCGACGGATCCATCCCTTGTCCAGAAGAGGGAGATGAAAACTATGAAGAATGGTGGATTGTGAATGCCATGTTGGTCTCATGGATTTACAACACAATTGATGGCAGCCTGAGAAACTCCATCACACAGGTAGAAGAAGCAGCAGAACTATGGAAGGATATCCAAGATCGTTTCTCTGTTGCAAACGGTCCTCGAATTCATCAACTGAAGAAGGAACTTGCAAATTGCAAGCAAAACGGTCAGTCCATCGTTACGTACTTTGGAAAA